TGTAGGGAACACTCCACGTGGCTCCACGTGGGGTGGCACAGAGCAGATCCAGGGCGTGGCGGGTACGAACCAAAACTCACTGCCCAAGAGAACATGTCTCTGTTGGCCGCCCTCAGCGGATCATGACTGCAGACCTAGAAATCACTGTGGGTTCCACCGAGGATGTCCCCGGGTTAAGCCTCAGCTGGACTCAGAGCTGACGGGCACCTGCTGCTGTCGTGGGTCCACTTTGCCAGACCCGGGCGGTGGGGAGACTGCGTCTGAGTCTGCACGGGGTCCAGAGCCGCTCCGTTTGTCCCCAGGCCGGGGGCTGGGAGTCATGTGCGTGCTGGCTCCCCAGCCCCGGACCAGCAGCCCCGCTCCCCGTGAAACCCACAGCCCTATACTGGGGATGACAAACGACCAAAAAATCAATTTGTAATCTGATTGGAGGTTTTTGATTTCCTCTGATGAGTTTAAATTTCATTAAAAGCAACCTTATTCCAACATAAAAGGAATCCTTGAAGGGTAAAGCAGGGGATTGTCTCACTGAGTATAAAGCATCCCGACTCTTTTGTGTGATTTATTCATCGCGTTAATTGTGAGGGCCAACCCAGGGTGTCCGTTGGCAGCTGTGCCGTTATCAGGGCCTGGGATCGGCCGGGCGGGCTCAAAGCACAAGGACTCACATTCAAAACTCGCTCTTTGGCATATTGACACTTGAGTTATCAACAACTCTTATTATCTGCTGGGAGGGAGCTGGCAGCTCATGGGGACAGAAGGAGCCACAAATCCCGCCGCAGCCGCCCCTCTGCATTCTCTTAATTGTGTGTATTCTCTGGAAAAAGTGATCATCGCAGCCTCTTGTCTTGATGAGAAATTGACATTTTCTGAGGACTTCTCTGGGTGCCGAGCGGGGAGATAAGGCCGGAGTTGTTTTAGGGGAGGGCGGGCGCTCCTTCCTTCAGGGGCCTCTTTATTGCTCCTGTTGGCCCGCCTGATGAGTATGGATTTCATGAGGTCTTTTTCAGCATCTGAACTATAAAAGGTTCAGAATGACACCACCCCTTATAGACAAAAGATAACCTTGCCCTTTGAATATATCGATTCTTTATTAACTAGGCTGTTTAATGCAATGAAATGAGGCATTAGATTGAAGCCCATTTCAAGTGCTTTGAATAATCTTTAAAAGCTTGGAAGACCCTGGAAGGTGGCCTGACAATAATTGGCACACATTTGGAGAGAATGCAGTTCTCAATTCGGATTCAAAACACAAACATAAAATAATTTCCCTCCCCGCTGGTCACAGGGCCCAGGCGAGCAGCTCAGAGAGGCAGCCCCTGCCACGCCCCTGAGCAGGCATCGCTGGCACCGGCTCAGAGTGGGGAAGGAGGTGAGGTTGGTTCCCCAGCACGCGGGGGAATTGGCGGGGGTAGGGGCGGGGGGGGGGGGCGGCGGGCAGACAGCAACATCACAGATATCAGCACTGTCATGGAGGGCACTGGCAGCTGTGGTGCTGAAGGGTCCTCAAGTGGCTTCTCAGGCATTGAACGTCTGAAGAGTCCATGGGAGAAGAGGAAGCGCACGGCAGATAGGATGTGGGAGCACATGAGCACGTATGCCTGAGCAGTCTGCTGCAAGAGGCCTTACTGACCGTGGAGGAGACGGACTCTTTGAGCCATCATTTCATTATGCAGTGAGCCAGCAGGGCTTCAGGGGAGAATGAACTTTCACCAGGTTTCTGGTCAAGCTCCATCCCCCACCCAATGCAGCCCATGATGCCCTGGGATCCACTCATACACAAAGCATTCTCTTAGGCCTGTCTATTTACATTCTTAGACTCCTGCCTCATCTCCCTAGAAAAAGAGTCAATCTGAAGAATGTCTACTTCTAGCGCCCAAAACTCTCATGAGAAAGTCTGCTCTAAAAGAAGGGCCAGACACTAAAGGCTAGAACACACAGGGTGAGATGAAACCAACAACTTGAAACGCAGTAGAGTTTGGGAAAGTCTCCAGAGATTAAAAGAAAAAAAAATCTCTGATAAAAGCATCATCGAAGGATTAAGGGTCAAGTGTTGTGATGAAGGCCGATGGGGTGTTATCTACCCAGTGGTCCCACAGCAAGTTGTAAGAGTTCTCACAACCACCCCATGTCTTTCTAAAGAGAGGGATTGTCAGCAGCAGGGCATAGTTATGTCACTGATCAAGTTCCACAAGGCTGGGATGACCCGATGGTCATGCCCCCATGGCCATTCACTGCTCTGAGCTAATCCAAGGAGACAGCTCATGGCTTGGGAGGGGGGAGGGGAGGCGCCAGGCTGCAGCCTTGTACCCCATGAGCCTCTTTCTTCACTGTCTCTTTAAGGCTGAAACGAGAATGCAGTCAGAGGAAGCTGATTGTCATTGACAGGAGAAAAAGGTATTCACAAGTTTCTTTATGTTTTGAATAATCATTCCCTGTTTTGCTCGACAGAACAAGTAATTAAGATGACATTTGTGAGTACTAATTTGGATCACACTTATGTGTATGTGTTGGAGAGCTGCAAGCCAAAGCATGCAAAACCAGCCTTTCGTTGAGGAGCAAATGAAAACTACAGAATGAAACAGAGTGGGGCTGCTGCAAAGGCACAGGAGCTGAGCAGAGCTGCAAAAATCAGAGCCCCCCCCCCCCCCCCCCGC